AATTAAAAGCCACTGATAAAAGTCTTAGATACTACAGTTTAGTAGGTGTATTCAATAAGGCATATGCACCAGAATTATCATCATATCAAACAGAAGGAGGATCTTTTTATGAAGATGGTAAGGATATGCGTTATGGGTATAGTAGACTCTCACCTAATGAACTAGAGATCGCTCTCAGTTCTGACATACAGTTGCATCAGGATAGGACCAGGAAATCTTTATTATAGGTCCCTGCTATAAAATTTTAATTATATTTTTTACAAATCAGGTTTTTTTCTAATTAAGCGAATCAGTTTTACGGACACCTTTAATAAATTAATAATAATGTGAATCATTGTTTAGTCAGATACTTTATAAAACTGGTAATAGGTAATTACTTATTGTAAAATATTATATATCAAATCTTTATATTAATAATAAACGATTGGTAAATTTTTTTTTTATATTTCTATGATTATCCAATAATTATATATAAAACTATTTATTTAAAAACTTTTAAAAACAATTCATGTGAAGAAGGCAAATTAAAAAAATTATAATTTGAAATAGTATCATCATCTACTGAAATCAAATTGTTATATGTATCTAAATTAGCATATGTACATATACCCAAAAAATAAACTATTTCTTGTGGAGTAATATGAATTGCAATTTTTCCTCCTACTAAATTTTCACATGAAAAAACACGATTTGCAATTTGTATATAAACATTAATAGAAATATATGACAAATTGTCTAAAAATCCTACTGGTTTATCAACCCATGCATGTTGCTGTCCACATTTTTTATACATCGCAATAACTTTTTCTAAACATAAAATTCTATTCAAATAAATTATTAAAAATACATCTTTACACAAAGGATTAAGATCAGAAATATTTGCTGAACCAAGGTTGTTTACTAAAAATTTAAATACTAAATCTTAATATATTATATAATATATAATATAAACAAAATAAAAATTTACCTAATTGAGTTTTAGGCAATGTTTCTAATCTTTTTCTTTCTTCCCAATGGTCTCGATGCTTTTTTTTTGATTGTTATCAATATTATCTGCAGTAATTTCAGTAATTAGTTTATTAACAACCTTTTCACTAATTTTAGTATTATTGTTATCTATTGTAGTTTGATGTAAATTACTAAAATTAGATTTTAAATTATGAAAATGCATCATGATTTTGGCGAATTTGCAAAAGAGTTTTAAAATTTAAAGTATCATTTTCAACAAATTGTTGAAATGAACAAAAAGATACAGGAATAGGCGAATTCTGAACAATATATTGAATTTTAGGAAATTTTTTAAACGATTGTAATTGTTGCATTATATCTTTATCGTTATTTAATATTTCATCATCTAACATTTCATCATCCTCATCAAAAATTTTATCTTCATGTAATTGATTATTATTATCTTGTGAATTTGATAATATACGTGCTACTTCTAAAGCTGCATTACCAATAGTAATTGAACGATTTAAACCAGTTTCATTATTAAAAGTATCAATTAATTCTATATAATAGTTAAATTGTTAATCAGTTAGATAAGAAATAATAATATATAACTCAAATAAATTATATTTATTACCTAATTCATCATCTTTACTATCCATATTATCTACTATTGTTTCTATATATTTAGTAAATTCTGGAATTAAAAACTCTTCTTTATAAGTATATATATGAATATACTTTGCTAATAATATAGCTTTGTTAAATGCTATTCAGATACATTCTTGTATATCATTATCAGTAGGCCATGTGCGAAGTCTTTCAATTATCTCAGATGAAAGTGATGTATTATCAATATCAAAACTGTAACCTAAAAATTTTATTACTTATTTAATATAAAGCTTTAAAATTAAAATTATATAAACTTAATAAATTAGTTTTCATGATGTAAAATTATTAAAAGTAATCCAGCAATCTGATTTTTAATTTTATTTTCAAAAATTTATATATAAAAAATATATAAAATTTTTTATAAATTTTTTAAAAAAGCCCACCTGGATAGTAAATATACTTAAAATTTTTTTAAAGTTTTGTAAAATTTGGCTTAACGAAGTTAAAAAACTAATCTATTAAGTTTGTATATCCTAATTTAAAAATAATTATTAAATACCTGCTGCAGAATTTCGATTTCTACTAGTATCAATTATTCCAGCACGTGAAATTTTATCACAAAATGATACTCTTTATTGTATTTTAAAAAACTCATAAAAATTAAAATCAGGAAGTATTTGTCATGAAATTCCAAATATATGTTCTAATGCTTCAGTTCCATGTTCCCATAATAATAAAGGAAATTGTGAATAAAATTCACGATGTGCTATAATAAGCATTACTAAAGATTCTACTATACTAACAAAAATATCATAACTTTGAAGTGAAATAAAACTTTTTTGTAAATTATACCATTTTGTTGAATATTGAATAACACAATGTTCAATATATTCTTTCCATATATTTAAAAAAAAATAAGCACGTAATACCATTTCAATACGTGTTTTGTGATCAATCGTTCTATTTAAATAAGCATCACACAATTAGAGTTTAGATCTGGATATATAATCGGATATCCGAATAGATATCCTGTTTTATATTTTTTAATTCAGATTTGTAAACGGATATTTATTAAGATATCCAGTTTTTAAATCCGTTTTCTATCCGGTTTTTAAATAGTAAGTATTTTATAAGAGAATTTCTTACTAAATGGCCGATAAATTACGAAGAATCTAATAAAACCAAGCATGTTTATACCAAAATCCCTTTGAATAATGCAAATTTGATCT